GAATGACATTTCAGGACAAAAGTACATAAGAGTATCTGGCAATGTGCGTTTTCTCCAACTTTGTTCACATCTCATCAGTTCAGTATTTTTAAGTGACATTGGGACATGAAAAGTACCCTACAGCATGACTGAAAATTATTTATGGTTCGTAAAAACGGTGGTATGCACAAGGCAATCAGACTGTGTGTTTGAGCTTTACATCAGTTTTGGCAAGTTTTTCTATGGATCTTTGTCAAGTAGTGCAGAATCTACTGGTGAGCCGTTCTACCACAAATATCAACAGCTTCAAGTTGTGCCTTACTTCTTACGTTTGAGACTAACTCTGCTTCTGATCAAACAGTAATCAAGCAGGACAGCTTCACAAAAATATATAAAGTGAATGAAGTAAAGTTCAAATTTGTCAAGGGTGGATGGGGGAGGTAAAAGGGACCACGCCCCCTCTTCCTGAAATGCTTACAAAAGCCCTCAAATGTAGCCAGAAAGGCAACAAAATGTTAAATTACAAACATTTGCAAATTTCTGTTCCCCCCCCCAACTTTTTATGCCCACCTTGAAAAATCAGTTTTGGATCTACCCAAGGCACCTGTGTATTGTACACACTTGCCGAGGTGTCTTTTTTAAACAGGTAGAATGTGTGCTTAAATGTGGTCCTGCCGCTGCATGTTTTATACATGTGTTAGTTCCTACCTGAGAACTGTTGGCAATAGCTCTGAAGAGTAGAGATAAACCGAGTTGAAGGCCACAGAGATTCCCATTTTGCCAGTCAGTGCAAGGTATGTCTGCATGCTAGACATCTCACTGCCTGTCAACAGAATGTAAAGGGAGAGAAATACATTTTTAAGTAGAATCCTTCAAAAAAACCTTTGTGTTCCAAATAAACTCATTCTGAATTTTTGTTTTACAATGTAAAGAGGTATATTGGTAGCTTTTTGGTAGTTATGCTAATGCCAGTTTCCACATTCACAAGCAAACCTGTGATGACACTTTAGGGAGAAAGCCTCCATGTTCCATTGATGTTTTGACATTTTGCAGTTCTAAACTTTCTCTACTTTAGTGATTCAATGTTGTTTAAGTACAGGGGAATAAGCCAATGAATGATGTTTTCTCAGTAATGTTTTTATTGAGCAAATCTTAGGTTGTAATTTTATGACAGTAAACCCTACAAACTGACCAGCGTCTTCCCTAATTGACATCAGAGCAACAATGCCCCCGTAGTCTGGAAGAGCACAGACAATTCTACAATTTTTAAAAGAGTGCTCTTTTCAAATGTTTGTTCATTCAACCCCAAAATGATGTCAGAAGGACTTATGATAGTCAACAAACAGAAGGTATTTGTTGCTCAAGAAAAAAATTTACCTTCTGATTTCTGTAAGGTCATGACTCCAAGGCAGGCAAGACCTGCGATGAACAAGGAGCTGGCCATGGTAGGCCGGCGACCTATCCTAAAATACAAAAGCCACAAAACCACAAAATCATTACCCCCAATCAATTGAGACTGCAGAGCCCACAAGAAAAAAAATTGGAACAACAGAACACAAATATTAAAATGACTTGAGGGCAGATGGTAAAATATGTAGCTCCTTAAAAGTGCTAACAATTCAACAGACTAGTTCTGTCAACTTTCAATACCAAGTACTGTTTGTTCATTAGATTTAAAGTAAACAATTTCTAATTTACAATTAGCATTTTAGAAATGTTACAAACTGCTTGTCTGAGTGGCGAGGAAGAGTTCTTCACATGTCAAAAACCGGATGGTTGTTTCTAGAGGAAAAAAGTTCACAACACCACCCCCCCCCATAGACCCCCATCGACACCAGACCTGGAAACGCTACTGACATTATGACATGGAGACTAAGTTTCTAGACCTGTTGCAGGCAGTGTGGGGGTTTATCTGCTATCCAAAATCTTACCCTTTTATTGCTTTAAACTGAGTCCTACAATGCAATGCAAGCTATTCCTTTTTCTTTTTGTGATTTCTGGCTCTGGAGGATTTTGTATGGGAAAAAGGTTCAAACTTCACACTAGGTCTGCAGTCCATCTCATGAATACAAATGTACACTGTCAATGCAAGGAACCTGACAAAGATTTGCGGCGGTCAATAAACTCGCCACAAATGTTAAGTCCATGTGCTAGTACAACAGCAAAAGCATACCAGGACCATGAACCAGTCAAATACCCACTGCCTTTCCAAATATGGCAGAAGAGCCTTAAATCTTTTTAACATAGCAAGCCACAACCAATCCTGAACAGCTGTGTAGGTGGACAAAACTGTTCCATTCTACAAGTCCCCAACATCCCACTTACCGATTCAAGGCGTAGGTGCTGAGTAAAGTGGCAGGTATTTCAACGATCCCAGACAGTGCGAAGTTGACGTACATGTTCCCACCCAAGCTGCTAGCACCAAAGGTTAGACCGTAATACGCCAAACAACAACTAAACCTGAGATGAGGCCAACAAAATACCAATGAAACGTTGATTAGTTTCTAGCAATTAGCATGCATTTACCTTTATATACACAACACTGCATAGGTGCAACATGCACACAGTGTAGCGCAAAATGATGCAATCATTCATGTTCAGCTAATGGGGGGGACTTTTTACATAGGAGGGTTAAAATTAACTAGCAATTACCTTTTCTTAGAGTCACTTTTCATACAACATTATATTCATCCATGTATGAAACTATCCTTTTAGGTTAAGTGAACTGAAAATTTCAAAATTTGAAAAACAATTTTCTGTGATTCTCCAGACAAATCAGGTCACTGTTCCACTGATGCCAATCAGGGAAGACATCATTCAGTTTAGAGGTTTTCATGTTCTAATTGTTTGTGAAGCCAAGTTTCCAGCAGTTTAAAACATTGTTTTTGAATGCTTTCACAGTCTTGCTCATTTGCTCATATGGAAATCAGTGTTGTAGTACTCGGTACTCGTACTCGAGTACTACTCGAGTACTGTTTTCAGAGTACTCGTACTCGTACTTGTACTCGGACGTCCAATTACTTGTACTTGAACTACAGTTCTTGTACTCGGGCTACAAAATACTTGGAACTCGACATCCAAAAATTGGACTCGAGCATCAAAGTAACAGTACTCAATAAAAAAATCCTTTAAGTTAACTTACCACGGCCGTTAAAATAAGGTACAAATACATATCGACCCCAATGACCCGATATTCGATACGGTTCTGACAAAAGAAGGCCGAACGTGGGACCATTAACGTATACGACCCATTCGGTGTCTGTGCGTGTACTTAACCAATCACGTACGCGAATTATATTGTGGTACTCTAGAATGGTCCTGCAATTTACTTGGGCATTGGTAGTCTGGTTCCTGGACCCGAAAATTTTAACTACGAACCCAGCATACAGAAAATCTTAGGCATGTGAATAAATGAGTCTGGAAAATAGACTTCGCTGCGCCGTGCACGTTGTGCCAACTGCTGCAACGCACGTGTAGTGACCTTGACATTGCTAGCCAGATCACTTGTTCTTGTAGCCATGTCATCTGCATTCGGTGTTTCTTTTACACAGTGGCAGGTTTTAGAGTCTCTAAATTAACATAAAACTACTTTTGAATTACAAGTACTTGTACTCGTACTCATAATTAGAAGTACTTGTACTCATACTCGGAAGTGCAAGTACTTGTACTCAGAAACCAGTACTTGTACTTGGCTGGCAAAGTATTCGACATGTCTTTGTACTCGGCAGTCAAAGTACTCGGCAGTACTTGGTACTCGGAAAAAAGTACTCGACTACAACACTGATGGAAATATGCATTAGCATGAAAGGCAAAAAGGCATCAAATAGCTCTTTTTCAAATAGCAAAACAATAAAATTGAAAATAAAGTTAATAAAAACATGAAGGTGCATCTTTAAGCACTGTAATGAAACTGTACCAAATAGGCCCTTTAGAGAAGTTCTGATGGTGCCAGAAAACAATGACAATCTTAAGTTTTTAAAAAAGGTGGACAATCTTGAAGGGACAAATGTGCCAACCCCACCAATGCCAAATGGCAGTGCCCTAAAATAATGAAATTGGAGAACAGTACATCTGTTGACTTGAAAGTCTTTCTTACCATGTGATCATCAGTATTATCATCCTTCGCCTGAGCATGGGAGTGCGGAACAGGTCCAACACCCCCACCGAGCTCTTGCCTTTTGTCTCTTCCCTCTTGTCGGTCAGGGTGATGGTGGTTGGACAGGGCCACACCCCATTCCTCCGGCCAAAATTGACCAACTGGTCCTCTGCCTCCGTGATGCGGCCCTGGGAGGCCAGCCAGCGGGCTGATTCCGGTACCAGTCTAGAGAAAAACCACCAAAAAAAGGGGAAAAAAGCAAAAACAAGTAAGTTAAAGGTTCAAACTTTAAGTGAATGCAATAGTGAGGTGGTTTTAACAACTCAAAGCATTTGCAGTGAAATTCACTGTAGTGTTCTCAACTTTTCAAACTTCACAACACAAAAGTTTGATCTGGCATCAAAGGAAATGTGTATTTTAATTACCGATTTTGCCCTTACCCAACATATATTCACAACCACTGTTTACTCAGTGCTTGTCCAAGAGCTTGCAAACAAATCCGCAAGCTTACTCAGGTGGGACTCGAACCTACAACCTCCTGCTTACTAGTGTCTTAACCACTGGACCACCCAGCTTGCCAGGGTCGGCTGGCTAAGCAAAACCCACAATTAAAATTAACATCTCCCAGATGCAAAAGTGCATCTTGAAAATAGTATTTGCATTATTATCTGCTGTTCCGATAGCTGCATGGGATTTTTAACACTAGTGAATTATTGTATTAATGTTGTACTAACAGCCACCCATAGTTTTAGCAGCCGCTTGTAGGAAAGACATGACCATGATGTCAAAAGAGCAGACCCTATAATGTTGCTTAATGTGCACATTGGTTTAATCAAAGTCATCCCCTGAACAGTTATTCTTGCACTGTTTTTGTTATGTACGCCCCAAGGATTTGAGCCAATATTTCATGTCACATGATCTGCAATTTCATCAATCTGCATCAGATGCCCTGAATTTAACCGGACATTGGATAAAACTATCTGATGCACATCCCTGTCTACGCACACTTTCTAATCAAGCCTACAATCAATTACATGAGATGTCGGCATTGCAAGTTCTTACAGTGGTACAATGACGATGGAGGCCATTAGGAAGCAATTCAATAAGGTCAGATGTCTCCAGTCCCGAATGTAGTAAGCCATCACTGCAAGCGACTTTACAGAAAAGAACACACACGATATTAAACAGGTGTAAACAAATCATGGCCGAATACACTACCGATATCAGCTAAGTATGGAAACTTGTCTGGTTTAACCATTTACCTTGACCTCCCACACCATCATAAGTACTGACCAGACAGGTATGCACTCTGAAATCAGACCAATATGACTGTTTTCTTGAAGACCAGACAATAGCAAGTATGCTCCATTTCTTGCAATCAATTTCACAGGTTGAATGTCAAAGTTGTGTGGCCAATAGTAAGATTTACGGAGAAAGTCACATCATTAAAAATAAAAACCCTGTGGAAACCGGATGACTGGCCACCATGTGACTGGTTAACATGTAACAAATTTGAGAATATCAAGTGGCCAATTATAGACAGAGCAGAGCAAGGCACTTGTATAAACAGCACTGGTGATGAAATGATCCAGTGAACCAGTCAAATACAAAACGTTGCTGTTGTTCGTAAGGTCAGGGTTTAAAAAAAGTACATGTATTAACCACACATCAGGCAGATCAGAACTCAAATACACAATTAATCCCCAGTGTAGCATCATGGAAGGACACAGAAGTTTGAACTACATGTGTAACATCTACCCAATTACCGCTTTCTGGCATGCCTGGTATGCCCTTGCTACACACCACCTGTTTCACAATCATAAGCCCCCTTTGTGCCCTATGATAATCACTGCAATATTTTGCTGGTAATCTGCATCCTTAAAACATTGTGTACTGCTGTATAGGAAATTGAATTTTCATGCCATCGTTGGTGCTCGGTATGATTTGACAACATCAAATTTAATGCTTGTGCAGTTGCTTGTATTAGGCTGTGTACCCGAAGTGTTCATGTGCAGTCATTGCCCTTGTCAAATGCTTTCTTCTGGAGTTGTTTTGGGAATAAATAGCCAGTTGTTTATAAGATGTTATGTTTTAATTGAATCATTTTTATTACAGAATTTATTAAAAAAAGGTATTTTATAAGATCTCGTGATCACTCCTTGTGATGAAACAGCGCATTTTGTTTGTTATGAACTTAACTGCCCTGTGGTGGACATGCTGTTGGCCAGTTTTAGCCAAATTCATACAAAGACTTTAGAAACTGATGTTTTGGAGTGACAAAATAAAATTGCAAACATTGCATGGATAATGGAAAGTGCATCAAAATCTTAAAACCATTATTCACAACGGCAAAAGTAAATCTAATCTTAGATTTTTTTTTGTTTTTCCTGGTCACTGCAATAAGTTGTAGTTAATTGCAAAGAAAGCACCACAAATATTGCTATGATATTACTGGCCCCACTTGTCCGGCTAAGCTGCAGGAAGTTACCAGGCATTTTGGGAATGTTTACTATTGTTCATCTGACCAGGCAGCAATGATCATCGAGCACTTTGATGTGCCAGAGTTGTAACTTTTTCTGTGTCCTTCCTCTATGGTAACATGGTCAAACTTCTTACATGTACATCTATGAACCGCTTCCAATTCTGATGGTTTCTGAGGGTTTTTATATAATCCAGTAATTCTATATAACTGTAAATAAACTCACAGTCCACATCATTTCTTAACCTTAAATGTTTAGTCTAATGACTTTTTGTTCAACCTGTATAATTTTTTCAAATAAAGCACAGGTGAACAAACATCTATGAATCCGAATAACGCATGTGTTTTTATAGCAACATCAGCTTACCACAATAGCCACTGAACAGCTACAGTTGAAGATGCTGTTCAGGAGAGCTGATTTCTTGGGTAGAAGTCCCTCCAGCATCAGCACGTAACCGGCTAGACCAGCCCCTCCATAGAGGAAACCTCCCAAAAACCTACAAAGACAATACACATACACACACAAGGCAGCCATGTGAGGAGAGGAGGTTCATTCAACTAACTGAACTTGAAGGAAAGCCATTTGTATAAGGTTTGGCATGAAATGTACAACATCATCTTCTCCATGGGTACGCTCCGAGGAGATACTGTGGAGTTGTCATTTGGTACATGTATGGGGGCTGGTCATAAGGCTGAGTAAGGGTACCACACAGGCTTAGCCTATACACTGACTACCCACACTGGGAACAGCATGTAGGTCTGGGTATCAGAACCTGGTATCCTGAGTGCCCAACTGACAAGTGTCAGGAATTGCTTCCAAATTATGGAAGCACATAACCAAATACTCATAAAATTGCAATAAAAAAGGAAGGTTTCAATGGGATTGAGTTTTTTGAGGGGGGGAGATTTTAAAATAAAAACAGGGCTTCCGGTGACGCTAAAACAGAGATAGAGTTTGTGTTCAAAGGTTGCTCTTGAGCATTTAGAGGAAAAGATTGAATTGGAAATTTGAAACTAGAGTAATTTTCCTTTCTTTTACTACTGTTGGGGTTGAGTGTCTTTGATGTATGTCCTGGGTACCCATGCTTACATCTGCGACCAATTTGTTTTTTGAATATTGTTTGAGACAGTTCAGAGCAATGGATTCAAGTCCTGAATAGTTGTGCTGGTGTAAGTAAGCAGCCACAAGTACTTCAATAGGGTAACAAGTTCTCAGACAAGCCAGAAATACACACCCAGTCACCCACACAGCAAATGAAAAACAAATGGCTAGGTTCTCTGTGCAACTGTCACAGAAGCTGCGTCTCTTCATATTAAAAATGAAACCTCTGCATTCTTCATGAATTTTCCATGCAAAATATGAACAATCCATACTGGTTGGCCACTCTGCTGACTAAGGACTTTTATCACAAGGTATACCCACAAACTTACTAATCTCATCCCATGCACAAAATAGACACTTACCTTGTTAAGGCATACTGGTATATATTCTGAGTAAAAGCCGAAATAAACTGGACCACCACGAGGGCCAGTATCCCCCCGACAAAGGTCCTGCGCCGTCCAAACTTGTCCGAAGCCCGGCCTACGGCAACAACCCCAATCAGGTAGCCAAACATGAGCAATGACTGGGCATAGCCTGCATTTGCCTTGCGCTCACACACGAGGTCCCACTGCAGGAGAGATAGAATACCGATGCAGGTGTCACACTCCCAACTTTGCCAACTGTCCCAACTTTTGTCCAGCGGCCAACTTGGAGTTTGACCGACATCACTGCATTTCATTACCTCTCCCACCCCTCCTTATTTCTTCAGCCAGTTCACGATTTTCCTCACTCTAACAATCGGTCCTTCCCTTTCTCTTTTTCAATACTGTTATGTACATATGTACACACACAGTCTCTATACATGTGGTAGATTATGTAATGGCACCGCACAAGATTGCGTTTGTGACCTGTGATTGAACCAGGCAAAGGTGAATGACCTCACTGTAGTCCAGAATATTCTTCTTGTACATTCTAAAAGTTTCTTGTCAGCTGATGTAATTTCTAATTGTTTAGTGCATGTTCTGAAAGTTTCTTGTAAGATTAAATGTAATTTAGTAATGCTAAAAAGTTTATTTTAAGAAACTTACGGAATGAAAAGAACTTTGTAGAAACCAAGAAATTTCTAGAAGAGTTGTAGACTATGAAAGACGAGTTCTGACAGATGAGAGAGACACACACCAAGAGAGATTTTGGAAGGTAATTCTACTGTACGCAGGCTGTGAGAAGTTGTTGACTTATTGACTTCTCCACCATTCCAACCTGTGGTGGCGAGTTGTCTGTGGAGCAACACTTGTAAGAAAAGTTCCTCAAGACCAAGTGAAGTGCAGAGCTGAATTTTATTCCGGAAGAGAGTTTGTGAACTGAATCCAGTTCTAGTTTGTGGGATCATCAAGTTCCTGTATTTGCTACAATCATCACGCCCCTTTGCCGTTTCGTCTCGAGCCCGGTCGTTCTTATTGGGCGTGGTCTTCATCCCCGTTGCAGCTTATGTTTTTGAACCGTCAAGGACTGAACTGTTTTTCACCATCTGTGGAGTCCAGCATTATTCACTATAGTGCCTGCCAAGCTCTCGCCCATAAGAACATCTTGTTTAAATAAGATCTTTTCTTGGTTCTGTAACCTTATCATTGTAAACTAGTTCCAATCCGTATTTTTTGGTTAGCCTTTTTTGACAAACTAATTGAATTATTCTCATTTTTAATCACTTATTTTTTATATCAGTGTAATCTTGTTTGACTTTTTTTAGCATCGCAAAAAATTCCCGATTCAGAATAATTAAATAGTTTGGACTTTTCTGGATTGTAACAATATATTGGGACTCTCTTCCACAATATTTACAGGATGGCAGAAGACTGAATTTTTTCCACAATACTCCCAGTCACTTTGGTATGGCATTCTGTAAATTGTAAAAACAGCAAGCTCAAAGAGCCTGCTCTGTGCAAAGTAAGGTGCTCAGATCAGAGAAGTAGGCATCAGCTGCATGTACTTATTGCATGCCGCTAGGCCCAAGCCTTACCTCAGAAACAATAGACGTGAAATTTTTGCTGTAAAGGTACTCCTTGCAGGGCGGCTGAAGTTTGCAGGGGTCACTGCCTGGCCGCCCCTTGCAGATGAAGGCAGGTTCCTTCCCGACGAATGCCAGCAAGACAATGAATGGTGTCTGGAAGAACTGCATCAGGAAGAGCAGTGTGAAGTGGATCTGCTGGACGAATCCAAATCCTCCCACCTTCTCTAGAGCAGCGTCAAAGTCCAGCTTCATGCTGACAGACCTGATGACAACCCCGACTGCAGTGATTTACGTGTGTCTCATCAAGCTGCTGAGAAAAATATTCAGCGGAGGAAATATCAGTGTCCATGGAACAAGACAATGACAAACATAATTTATTACTGTAAGCCTGCACTTTGAAAATAAATGTTCTCACATTTGCAGTAATTTTCACCCTGAATCAGCCATCCTCTCACAGTTTACAACATCTTTAATTAAACATACATATGCAAGTCTCTTGACCACTTGTGAACAGTGTTATTTTGCATGAAAGCTGTTAACTTTCAATGAGGGAATGACACAGTGGCCAACTCTTGATAAGGCCACATGAAAAAAATAACTAGTTTAACATCAGCGCCTGCCTCAAAAAATCTTGCCGCATGGTTATTTTTCTTTAAAAGTTGTCTTTTCCAATGTCCTTAGCCATCCCTTGTAGTTTCTACAATGCCCACACAGGCCTCGTGCACGCACAACATGCCCCCTGAGTACATACACACAGTGTCATATGCACTTCTGTGCATGAGTCTGAGGTGAACATGGCACTTTCCTTTCATAGTTGCGGCAGTCCAGATCAGCATGCATACCAAAGTATTGAAAAAAAAATCCTCCTCCCTCCTCGTTTTTTGCAAATACAACTGACGCTAAACAATTTTTTTAAATTACCTAAATAGCCAAATGTCACAAAATTCTGATTCACAACGAGTCACTTGAATAGTGTGTACATGTACATGTTAATGACAAATATTTTTGACAACCTTATATTAACACTGCTAAGTGCACTCACAGAGCAATATTTGCAAGTTCAAGCTTAACACTAGTGCTGTCTAAGTTGATTTTTGAAAAGATATTTTTAATCCACTAATTTTCACAATACGTGCCTGGTTTGAAAAACAAAAGGTTAATAAATTATGACTCATTGGCTTTTTAAATGTGCTGTTCTTAATCGGTCAGACTACGCCTACCATAAACAAACTCTCATCATTTTCATCAATCTTTTGTATCTAGCTTAATTTTCCTGCATTACTCCTTACGCTATGTGTTATTAAAAGCAACAATCTCATTATCTGTGCGATCGTTGGTTTAAATGGCGCACAATTACCTGTACTTTTATAATACGAATTCAATAAAGTAACTATCAATTAGAATTTGAAGTAAAGGTCTATTGGCAGGGTGTAATGAACACTGATTTTAGTGTGCAAGATTGCAGATGTGACTAAACTTCAGGCAAATGCGAAAGCAAAGCCACTTTGACATCATTAAAGATTTGCAGCAAAATTTTCCTCAAGTGAAATGCATTAAATTTTTGCAAATTCAGTGTAAAGATTTCATCTGACATCACAAATTTGCATTAGTGTCCATTTCTGCACAAAGTATGAACCGGCCTACAGCTTGAGACAGATGAGCACATGCCATAGCACTGAAATAAGGTGTCTTCAGTGCCTGCTGCACACACTGCAATCCCATGAGGATGAGGCCAGATATACGGTATCTTTTTTCCACTTCATAGAAATACTCATCAGATGATCAGCGTTGACAGAACCTTCCCTTGCTGAATCCCACCCTCCACAAGCTTGGAAGTATTGAGAGTTCCTGGCCGACTCTCTCAAGTGATTCAGGAAGGTCCCTGTTAGGTAGTGCTTCCTCCTCCAATAGCTGAGGGCATGAAATTCCCTGCCCAGATGAGAAGCATAAACCTCAGCAACATCAACACCCAGGTCAAAATAATGAGTACTTATATCCATGAAAACCAGAGATAAAAAACTTGCAAGTTGGGCAACAGAGTATGCACTACCGACTGGTGCTTGAGTAAACAAGCTCTTAGTATGCCTTCTGTATGAACATATCATTGGCCACGTAAGATCTATAGGGATCATGCCATAGCACCTTTGACTGGTTGTTCCCAGCATGTTCATCCTTCCTCTTGCCACTTTAACTCCACCGCAATTGTCCCCTCGCGAACTGCCCTCTGCCAGGCTCCTCTCTTGGCAGTATATTCCTCCATATTCTTCTATTACACGGTGATATACATGTACATGTACGTCGTCCAGCACCTGGTCTTGGAAACAAAGCAGTGGTCCTCCTCAAGATGGAATGCCAGTGCTGACTTCACTGAAGGGGATTGGATTTGGAAGTCGATCCCATGCCATCCTACAGACATGACCAAACTGTCTAAGACAGTGTTCTGTGAGAATGGTGTGCATGCATACTTGCACTTTGAGTGTGTTGCAGTACTTCCATATTTGACACTCAATCTGACCATTTAACACCTAGAACCTCCTTAGGTTGTGAGCTAGAAGCTGTTAGGCCTGGTGATCTGCACTGCATAGGCAGACCAGGTCTCAAACCCATATTACAGTGTACACAGAACACATGCTTTGTAGACTGCGATCTTTGTCTTCAGCCTAAACTGCCTGCTGTTCCACACACACCTCCTGAACTGACACAGTTCACAGCTCTGCCAATGCGTCTGTTGAGATCTGCCTCCAAGCTAGACGTATGTTAGACGCACGACCCAAGGTAACAGAACTCATCCATCACTCACAGTTTCTTCCCATTGGTGTTGTATAGTACAATTCGTTAACCACAATTATAAGTCAATACTGCAATAGCATAGCGCTCGTCGACAGGTGGTACACATGCATTTCAACCAATATGGTGTCGTGATTTGCCAAATGAACGCACATATCAAGTTGAAGAATGTGCGTGTGAGTGCGGTGCCATTGCAATTATGACATCTAATTGAATAAGTCTAGTGAAAACATTGTGCAATCTCGGATGCTGTGCATAGCCGTCCTGTTGCGTGTTACAAACTTTTGCATGTACGTGTCGGTAGTGTTTTTAATAGCAGGGTGCCAGTTAATCCAATTCTATACTGAAAAGCATGCTTTTCAATAATTATTTTTAATATTAAATATTAATTCATTCATTATTTGCATGTCACGTGCATGTCTAAATTCATTTTTCATATACAGATATATCACTGTAGGCCCTAGTATATTGCAATGAGTATTGTTGTTTTGGCCGAAATAATAATAATAATAATAATATGGCCACATGTAAGCTTACCTCCTACCCCCAGAACTGTGGGGTCCGACGTCCGCCCCGTTGGGAGCCGGGTGGACGTCGGACCCCAGTTCTGGGGGGGGGGGGACTTACCAACCACAAAGTACCGTACGTAAGTACCATACACTGCAGCTTCCTGCTAGCGAACTGGCTTGTCAGTTTCAATGAGTCCAAGTACCCACGTAGTAGGAAATATGCTATGCGTACGCCCTGAACTGGATTCCAGACAACCCATGTGTCACCATTGTAGCCGCAGTCGTTATCATATCCACTTTCACATAATAGAAAGATACTACAGCCGGGACTAATAAATTTATTGGCTACGGCTGGTTACAGAGACCTCACATGATGTGACATAGAAAAATTGTCGAAAGTCCACTCCGTTCGAGTGTTGGGACGCGATCGACATTATGTGAGGGGTTGATAATTTATTATTGTCATTATTTATTCGGACTATGACAGAACAGGACATATTACCGATAGAACAGAGGTAAAATTACACTGAACAAAAGGGCGTAGACTGCAGGTTGGGGGACAATAGATATAGCATTTACGGTACGGGAGGAAGGGAAGGGGTTGGGGGAACCATTACGAGACGGCCAGGATGAGCATTGAGCCTGTTCATTCAATCATACAATGGAGGATGAAAATAAAAATATATTGATTGGAGAATAAAAAGGAGATTTGTTTTTACACAACGCGCTGGGGAACCCCATTTGAATACAGGCTATAGTGGCTCTTTATTTTTTTATTTATTTCTTTTCATTTTGAACAGGAAGCAAAGTCTACAGAAGTTATATTACTGCAGCACACTTTTTTTCTTTCAAGGAAAGGAGTGAATGCGCTGCGTACACGATGCATTCATGCGGTCCACTTTCATGGAAACAAAATCGACTCCATTTATAACAGACGTCTGCGTTGCGTTCGGCCCTCAAAATCGCCCTGGGAGTGGTATTATACGGATTATGCAAAGTTTGGCGCAAGTGTTGACGGACATATGGAAATGCACCTTTGATAATTTCACATACGTAGGCTACGTGATAATTAGGGTAAGAAAAAGAACAGACAAAACATTCATTCCACTCAAAACAAAATAATAATAATAACAAAATTTTTCGAATGAAAAAATATTGTTCTAATCGAGAATTAGAACATAACTGGGTACTTAAGGCGCCTTTCCATGAGCACGTTGGGGTGGGGGTGATGTTGACAGATACACAAAGCTTTGCACAACGCACTCACACAGTGTGTATGTTATTTTAGACTGCGCATCACTACTGAGTAATGAGACTTTTAGGGAAATAAACAATTAAAACAGTGCTCTATCCGCTCCGAGCAGGAACAAGAGAGGGCGTGTTTTGAAATTGAAATTGACAGTCTTTTGGTACTCACCGCATAGGCGCAAAAGTTCGGATGGTGTCTGCGATGAGCGTAGGCCTATAGGCCTATGTGGGCGTTTGTTTATTGGGGTGTTTGACCACTTGCTTTTTGCGGCTGCTAGCTTTGTGCCATGCGAAAAGGCGATTTTATATGCTTGTAATGTATTGGCGTGGGAGTCAGGTTGGCCGCTGATGAACTGATTCTTTTAATTTTTAAGCGCCTCCATGATTATTCTCAAGTACTTTTTTCTCCATGAGTATGGCATGTCTTCAGAAATGTTTGTCCGA